TGTAAAGTAAATTATTTTACTTTCAAACTAAATTTTACTTGGCAAGTAAAATGTTTTATAATACCGCAATACCGGGCATAAAAGTAGTATAAACAAACCAGACAGCTGTTGATTTGAATAGAATTATTAATTATTTTTAGTAAATTTGAGCATTATGACTACATTAAAGTATTTTAAATCCAATCGATATTGTTTTGGTCCTCAATGCAATTCAAGATTTATAAAAGATATGTCCATATTTCTCTTTCATAAACTGAAAAACTTGAAGAAAAAATAATTTATTATGCAATTTTTTAAAGACAAATCATGTGCTATATTTTCTGACAGGTGATCTCAAGTTAAGGTTGATTTCATGTAATCAAATGAACTATTTTACAATAAAGCCAAGTTAAAGTTATTTATTTATGTTAATATACAATAAAGTACTTACATATGTCAAAAAATAGTATAAAATAAAAATTAACATATTAAAAACATAAGGTATAATAAAGCATATATTCGCTGTGAGCCGATGAGTAGAGGGGATTTGACAGTTTTCACTAACGCTGTTAGTGGCAGTTTTGTGCATTTAACTTGTAAACATTCAAATAATTGCGAATATGGATTTTTCAAAAAGAAAAATATATGATACATGTAAAAATACTGAGTACAACAGTCATTGTAAATTTTATTCATTTCCTGTTGCCAAGCATAAAAAAGTTCAAAGAGAAAAATGGATTATTGCTATTAATGAGAAAAATAAGTAAATGACCTATAATGCAAACATGATATTTGTATGGTGTAAAATTAAAAAGCTATTATATTCCGAAACATTGCGTACATGCCCTGCATCAACTAAACCTTTTCCCTTTTTTGGTGTAGCTGGTTGAAATGGGATATCATGTGATATAGACTTAAAACCAGTATAATGTTTAATATCCATTTTGATAAAATTAAAAAAAAATTAAGAGGTGGAGGCCATAAAACGAAAGAAGAAGAAAAACTAAAGAAATTGATATCTAAGCACTAAGGCCTACGCACACAAAAAAATAACTGAACAAAAACAGAATAAAAATGTAAAATAAAAACAAGAATTACAACGTTAAGGTAACCTTTAACTAAAGAATATAGACGTTTTAAGCGTCTATAACCTTAAATATTTGCTTTAACCATTAAATATTTTTATATAAACTTCTTCTTTTTCTCAATGACCTGTTTCGTAAGTAGTCATCCAGTCGCAAGAACTTATATCTTAAATATTATAATTATAATGAATAAAATAACAAGGCGTAATTACTTTTACTATTAATTCTGTGTATTCGTTCATTAATCAGTTTACCATAATATTTCAGTTCATTATTTTGTATTTTTAAATAAATATCTATTTTTCTCGTTTTGTCATATTTCATTTACACAGATTTTACAAGAAAAGTACAAGTTTCAAACCGCGAGAGAGCGCTACCGGCGAAACTCACAGCGAATACGTTAAGGCAAACATTACACAGAATATCGTCGGTGACCTGGCAATATCTCCTATGTGACTTCACCTAAACTTTTCAGGAGAGACAAAAAACTTTATAATTATAAAATTTTAATACATTTCAATTGTTTGTTTGTGTTTGATGATCTGTGTGAAAGCGACATTTTTACTTCTTATGAAAAAAGTTAATATTTAATTGAAATTAGTTTTGTAAAGCTACTTAGGAGGTATTGCTTTAAGTAATGTTACTCATAGGAGATACTGATTTTATTTAATGTGAACTTAGGAGTTGTTATTTATTAAAATTAAGCATACATGCCCTTTTATATAAATAAAATTAAATAATTCTTTGAAATTAAACATTAATTGAATTAAACAGTTTTATTCATGGTAATATAAAACACTTATTATTATAAAACACAATATTAAAACTTCGAAAAACAATGAACAAAAATTATTGCATAAGTAGGTATGTTTTTATTTCTTTTTAGGCAGTTTTTATTTCTATGGTCCCAACTGGATCGTATTTGATACATTTTATATCAGTAATGGTTGGATCATACCTATATCGCTTTTCTTCCTGGTCGGATTGAGAAATATCGCATGTGGTTGGAGGATTAATAGTCTTTAAAAAACGTATGGTCTAATATTTTGACTCTATATGGCTTAGTTCCCTTCCTTGCTTGAGCTGTAATGAAAGCATAGTCACTGGGTAAATTAATTTTCCTATTTTTAAGACTCCTTTCTATCATACTATGTACCTAGTCACATTCCATTTGAGAGTGACCTGGTTCAAAACACTAACACATTATGTTTGATAGCAAAGTTTAGTAAAGCGTTGGAAAGGACATTAATACAATTTTGATAACCGCATCCGTCCGAATAAATAACTACTGGCGTTTTGGAATCGGCAACACACTTCTCCTCTAAATAATGTATACTATGATACATGAAATGTGGATGTTTTGAGCTGGATACTTTCGTTTTCCGAAAACCAATGGCACATAACATTGTGAGTTTTTAGGTTGTAAACTGTGAAGTTATGGCAGGACAATTTGGTTTTAAGGTACATTTTGTTCGCTGGTACATATGGGCACAGTTTTACGGCTTGTAGGTTCATTGTTAGTGCTAGTATTTTATCCTTTTCACTTATGGCTATATCCAAAGTTTAAGCTTCTCTGGCGTCTTTCTTTCTCTTTATATGAGCTTTATATTCTTCTTCCGTCATATATTTTTGAGAATATGTTGCAACCTCAAGGAGTTATATTATTTTTTGACAAAACCTGTTTACATAAACACCATATAAATCTGAAATACTGTTAAAAAAATATTCTAAATACAATTTTTGTGTTTCACTACAACAATAGTGTGAAGTAAGTTTGGGTAAACTCTCAAAAAATTGTTCCAAGTGTTTATGACTTTCTGTATACTTAGTCCTTACCATTTTCCGTCCAATAGTGAATGGTTTTATAACCTATATCTAATGTATTTGTGAACATGCTACGACATACTTGTAATTTGTGTTTTCATTCCTTTTTATGTAAGTAGTAAGTGTATGTACCTTGTCTTCTTGAATTTTCATTGATTGATTTAAATGTTGGAGTTTTAACTACATAACTTCTGCACTGTTCTGTAAATTCCTTGCAATATCTTATTTTACTTACGTGCATACCATTTTTTACTAAATCCCAGGTATAATTTACCTTTCATTCGAAGTTTTTTGTTTCTGTATTTTCTCCATTGATTTTTATTCTGACCAAGCTTTCTTTTTCTCTTCAATATTATTGTTTATACTAGTATAAGAACTTTCTTGAACATTACTGGTATTTCTAACTTCATTAGTCTCTTCTTTGTCACTAGAAAATTCATATGGCATAAGAGATACCTCTCTTTTATTTTGTCCAATTGACAATAGTATTTGTTTATTTGTTAAATTATATAACAGAGGTTTACAGAATTATTGGTATCACAACTGCTGTTATTAAAAAAAATGCATTTCTTTATATACACAATCACTTGGTATAACACAATTATTATTTTCCGCTAAACAGTGTACTTCGTTAAAGTCTTTTAAGCAATCTGTTGTCAAAGTCTTCTAGCTTCGTACAATTTTGCATTGCTGTAAACATAGTAAGTAAGAATAGCACAGAGGAGAAGACTCCTTAATGCTGAATTGGTGACTCTGTATGGAACTGAAAACATAGTAAGACATACCTAGGCAAACCGAATAAGATGGGCAGGTCACATGGTACGCTCAGAGAATAATAGAGTGTTAAAGACAGTGTTTTTTGAAAGACCACATGGTAGAAGATCAGTAAGCCGATCGAAAAAAAAGATGGAAGGATGATGTTGAAGGCGATTTATCTATAATTGGGGTGCAACAATGGGAAATAGAAGCGCAAGATCATAGAGGGTGGAGGGCAATAGTGGATTGGGCGAAGACCCACCCCGAGTTAAAAAGCCAGTGGAGAAGTGAAGAAGAAGAAGTAAGCATAGTAATAGTATGATTGTCTTCAGGCAGAGGCTCGTCTAATACCATAACCATATGCTATGGTTAGGCTATATTTAGGTTTTCCCATGTCGATTTCATCAAAGTTTGTCAGTTGGTTTTATCGTTTTAGTTTAGAATCTTATTACTTTAGATTTTATAACTACATAATATTACTAATAATATGTACATAATATTGTGTGAAACTTACCAGAAATATCGTATTTCGTTGAAAAACAACTCAGAGTCTACTAGCATTCAATACCCTATGATTACAGCATACAAACTGACAAGATAGGACATGTTGCATATAGTTTACTGCGTGAATTTAAATAGGAGAAATTACAAGTAGCATTTCTATATATTTAGACATTTTTCTCGTTCATAGGACTTGTACGGACGAATCTTTGGTGTAGGCAGATTCCGAATTCATCGATAACTCATTTTCGTAAAAAAATGCAGATAGGAGAAATTGCCAGGTCACCGACGATATTATATTCTGGGTTCCCAGGTATACACAAAATAGGATTCATCATCATCAATACACAAGCCAGTTCCAAACATTAAAGTTAAAATTTAGGAATTCATCACTTGAAAACTGCTTCCCCTTCAACCAATGGACTCTTTGCTTGACCACAATACTCAAAGATATCATTAAGGTTAATTTCCATTATTAAATGATACAAATAACTCGTCTTAAACCAAACTAAACATGGAAAAGCAATGGTAACTATGGATAGCGCTAATCGAAAAGGAACCAAGCGACATTTTACAAAAAATGAGTTAATAGCACCAATAAATAGCCAGATATTCACTTTATATGTGTAAAAAAATCCGTACGGCTCCGGAGCTTCTAGCGACATCTGTAGAAAAAAGGTCCAAGCGACAATCGGAAAATCGGGCAGTTTTCTTTAATATAAAAAGAACCAAGCGGTGGTACTTTAGAAAAATTATTGGTGTCGCTTGGATCTTTTTAAACCTTATGTGATTCTGTAGCGACCGGTAGCAATTTTATTTAGCTTAAAGGTTTAAAGTGAAAATAATAAGTGAAAAATGAGTGAGCGATCCAAATTAATCCTGAAAAAAGCTCTATTAGAGCCAAAGTCTACGGAGGCAACTCCCCTGGAAACGAAACGACTTAAAACCAGCAGAAACAACTTGGTAAGTTTTTTTGGATAAGTTATTGGTTGGTTTTAAAACAAATTGTTTATTAGTTTTACATTTACTTTTAAAATAACTATTATATGTTTATTTTACACCGATAGAAAATAGCTTTTGTATTTTTTTTTATTACTTATAACATGTTAAAAAATATTTCCCGGTTGTTGGTTCCTGTTATATTTTTGCAATAAATGGAACCAAACGACATGCAAGGCGGTTGGTTCTTTTTATATTATTGCAATAATTGTAAAAAACCACCTGCTTGGTGGATGATTCTTTTTGTAAAAAATCAGTGTTTATTGTTTTAAATGAGTTATTTATATTTTTACCATTTCTTTTTTATTAATAGGAACCAGATTTTTCAAAAAAAGAAATAAAATATCTCAGTTTGAGTGCAAACAATGATGATGTGAACCTAAAGGTACCAAATTCAGACAAAATAATTGTTCAAGAAGTACCAATCTTACAGAGTCTAGTAGAAACAATTACTCAGACTAAACCATCGAATTTAACAGGTAGGATTACTTAACCATACCACACATTACTTCAGGTATAAATCTTTAAAGTATTTTTTATTTTTTGTTTTAGAAATCGTCAATAATATAAATATATATGACGAAAGTTCTGATGACAAAAACATTAATGAAGAAAATATAGAAAATGCATTTGGCACAAGAACAAATAATTTAAACGTTATTGTTGAAGAAGTTCCGTACGTTGAAGAAGAATATATTTTACCGCTTGCTAATCACACAACTATGAATAACAACTACAATGATGATTCGCAGGAGTACCTTGAGGGTGAAGATTCAGATGATTTCATTAAAGATAGGGACTATACACCTAATGAATCAGACGGGAGTAGTTCAGAAGACGTTGAAAATAGATTTAATGAGGAAGATCACATTAAAAAAAAGTTAATCGAGGAAAAATAATCCTGGAAAGGCAGACCTAAAAAAGGAAGAAATCCGAAATATCCGAACTTATTTTGTGGTCAGATAGCTGCGGTGGTCAAAACCGCAATATTAAAATTGTCCTATTACTAAAAACAACTTTAATGGAACAACCTACGTTAAAGACGATCCAATTAAAATACCACGAATCAGGACACAGCTTTTTGCAGAATGATACAGATTTCGGACAAATTGAATGTGGAATTAAAAATCAGGTTCGACTTTACACCATGAAAGATTTTGTGAGCGTAATCGAAAGTTGTAAAAAAACTAATAAATTTGTAATAAAGTTAATGGAGAGCCAAGATTTTTACTCTACTGAAGACTTGGAAAAAAATATTATAAACCGAAAATTATCTATTCAAAAAGAAGAAATAAGTTGGTTAAAAACAAAAATAATAAAATTAGAAAAGTCGAACCCTTTTTCAATTTTTGTATGTGAATCTTATTCATCTACTGAATCAATGTTTAAAGAAATAGATATTTCAAAAACCGTCCGACGTCAAAACCCATTCTCCCTTAATCGAGGAAATTTAAAAGTACTTTATCTGAATGGAAAAGCTATTTCAAAAGAGAAGTGGAATTAAAATAAGTCTTTATTCCAGTTTCATCTAAAAGATGCCCTTCAATTCTACAAAATTAAAAACGTAAAGGATTTTGAGGACGATATTGAAGGATTTGGTTCCGTGCCTGACTTTGATTTGGACGCAGAAGAAATTTAATAAAAGACATATTTTACCAAAACTTATGTTCGTATACTTAAATATTAGTTTTAAAAGTTAAGTATTTGTTGTTTGTTTAGAATTTTTGATTTTATGAGTTTTTTGAGATTTTTTTATTACTCATCCTAAGAATAAGAAAATTAACGCAGCTATTTTTTGTGAAAGAGAGATTAGGAAAACTGTCAAGTTCCTGCACTTGATTATTATTAGTTTCAGAAGTTAAGAGTTTTTTTGGTTTGTTAAAAGTTTTTGATTTAATGAGTTATAATATGCTCTATTATTACTTAAAATAAGAATACGCAAATAACCAAAAATATATATTTTTTAAAGATTAACTAGGTAAAACCATACCTATACTGTGAGATTTAGTTTTATAAAGTTTAATATTTGGTTGAAATTTTCGAGATTTGTATTGCCTTAAAAGTAAATATAAATTACCACAAATATCGTACTTCTTATTTCCATTTTTCTATAGTTTAAGGGTTTCTTGATTAAAAAGGATTTACTTTTTTTTAATAATAAGTATTTTTTTCTAATAATGAATAGTTAAGTAAAATTTCAAGAAAGAGCCATTCCATATTTGTTTCATCTCTAAACAGAACCATGAGTCTCATGGTTCCATTTACAGCAAAAAGTAGATTTTCTGAAATAATTCAAAAAGATCCAACCACCAAAACACTGCCAAAAAAACCAAAAAAGTTACCTTATGAAAAAATAATTTAATAGTGGCTAATATTTACTTTCAAACGCGGTATCATACCTTAAAATGTCTTGAATAACTTGAAAGTTACAAGGAAAAACATTTTTTATTTTTGTAACCTTAATTACTCAAAATCATATTTTGGCGGTTGGTTCCCTTTCGATTAGCGCTATCCATATTCGAATGTTATGTTTGTTTTTGTTTATACCATTTATATCGGCCATGACACTGCAATCGACCTGCCCTCTACATTGTACATTCAGTTTCAATCGCGAATAAATGGGTTTTGTATTCTTGTGTACTCCTGTGACGTAACTCAAGCATCCCCCCCCCCAGTCGGAAGAGGCAACCGTAGTAAGTCTACGAACCGTGGGTCTGCCCTAATATGATATAATTAAAAGGTTAGTAGTAATATATATGTTTGTTTTATAAAAATATGTCTCAAATTAGCATGGATAACAAGTGTACTGGCACCAAAAATTTTTGGTGTTTACCTTCTTTCTTGAATAGGAAAGCATAATTCTTGTTGTTAGCATTCCATTCCTGAACCTTTAAGGCTGTTGCTATCATCAAAGAATATAGACGCGTCTATATTCTTTGCTATCATATCATTTTGATCCTGTTTTTTGTGTATATTATACTTTCTGGACAAATTTGTGATATCTTGACTTGTTAATAGGGCAAGTCTTTCTAGTTTTGGTGTTTCCAATTTTCTTGAATCATCTAAAATTCTGCTGGGTGACACTCCAGATAACTTCTCTACAATCGGTTTTCTTGTGCTTTTGAGAGATGGGACGATTTTCACATTTGGTCCCATTGAAGATAGCCTCAAGTTGGCTGTCAATTAAGTTTCACAGAACGAAATATTGCGTTGGCAGTGTTGCCATGTTTTTATAAGGTATATGTTATATGCTTCAAAGACAAAGAGATTAAGCTTTTAAAAGGTACATTTTTATCATATTATTTTATGAATTCTGCTATTTTATACCTTATATAAAATATTAATGAAGTAATATTTGTTTCGTTTGATATTAGTTGTAATAAATTATTAGAAAATTTTTTTGGCAATTGCCCTTTGATAGGTTAGCGGATAGATTTGGCAATAGAGTCAGAATCCTCAAACCACCAGCTGATAGATCATTGATAGATTGCATCAGATGCATTTTAAATTTTATTATTTATACTGACATTTTACTATTTACTGTTAAAAACTGTTTTAAAACTATTTCTTTTTTCGTAATCGTTAAATATTAGTTTTTAAATATCTTGCCTATGTTTCATTTGTAATGTAAATTTCAACACTGCCAAACACCAATATTTCATTCTGTCAAACCCATTTGAGGCTATCTTCAATGGGACCAAATGTGAAAATAATGAAAGGAAATCATGCTGTGATAACAGGTGAGTTAAGAAATAACTTATATATTCTTGAATTAAAATGTAGACATCTACCACAAGCACAAATTACAACTGTTGAACATAATATGCTAATGCATAGGAAAATGGGTCACTCTGCAAAGCATCCCATATCTGGTATATGTGAAATCTGTTTAAAAGGAAAACAATCACGATTACCTTTTCATAGAATTGATGCTGAAAGAAAAGCAAAAAGAATTTTAGTTGTATCAACAGCTGTGTGTGGCCCTATAGATCCAATAACTCATGATAATAAAACTTATTTTGTTACATTTATAGACCATTATTCACATTTTTGTATATGTTATTTAATTGAGAGAAAATCTGAAGTAATAGATAAATTTAAAGAATATATTGATATGGTTACTGCTAAATTTAATGTAAAAATTGAAAGGATAAGGTGTGATAAAGGGGGGTGAATACTCATCAAAAGCTTTTAAAAGATTATGTTCAAATAATGGAATTAAAATTCAGTATACAGTACCAAGGAATCCAGAACAGAATGGTGTTACTGAACGTTTTAACAGAACCATTATGGAAAAAGCAAGATGTTTAATTTTTGATTCAAATTTAGATAAAAGCATGTGGGGTGAAGCTGTCAGAGTAGCAGCATACTTAATTAATAGATCAGAAACTCAAACTTTACCTGATAACAAAACACCTGCTGAAATTTGGTATGGTGAAATGCCAAATATGGAAAAGATAAGATTATTTGGTTGTAATGCTTATAATTTAATTCCTAAAGAGAATAGGAAATCTAAGCTTGATCCTCGTAGTGAAAAGCTGATTATGGTGGCTTATTCAGATAATGGCTACAGACTATGGAATCCGGAAGAAAGAAAAATAATCCATGCATGGAATATAATTTTTGATGAAAATTCAATTGAAAATAATACAATTAGACTATCTGAGAATGAACAAATTGCTTAAATTCAAACTGAGATTGGAGTAGAAAATATCCCTGAAAGAATCACTGAACAAAATGTACATGACGAAGAAGAAGAAGTAGTTGAAATAATTAATGAAAATAGAAGAAGTACACGACATAAAAAGAGACCTACATATCTTGAAGACTATGATTGTGAGTATAATACAGAGATGAATCTACTAGCAGCTTTATCAGTAGGTACATTTCTTGATGATGTTCCTGAAACCTTCTCTGAAGCAGTCAAGGACATGGAATGGAAACAAGCAATCCAGGATGAACTTCAGTCTTTGGAAGAAAACAAGACATGGACTTTAGTGAAACAACCAGAAAATGTGAGTGTAATAGATTCCAAGTGGGTTTTTCGTGAGAAAGAAGTGAACAGAAAGGTAGTTAAGAAAGCTAGATCGGTAGCTCGAGGCTTCCAACAGAGTAATTTTAGTGAAAATGTGTATGCACCAGTAACAAGAATGGCTACAATTAGAGTATTACTGTCATTGTATGTAGAATATGATCTTTTTGTAAAACAGTTAGATATTAAGTCTGCTTTCCTTTATGGAATGTTGAAAGAACCAGTGTATATGTATCAACCAGAAGGGCTTGAAGGATATGACAAAAATTTAATTTGTAAGTTAAGTAAATCACTATATGGTCTAAAAGAAGCTCCTAAATGTTGGAATACACTTTTTCATGAAAGCATAACTGATCTTGGTTTTCAACGATCTAGGAAGGATCCTTGTTTGTATTTTAAGGATTTTACATTTTTACTTGTGTATGTTGATGATTTGATAATATTTTCAAAAGTCGAAGACAATAATATTTTTATAAAAACTGAGTTAAAGAAAAAATTTAAATTGAAAGAGTTTGATGATGATAAATTGGTATTTTTAGGTTTACATATAAGTAAAATTGAAAATGAAGTTTATATTTCACAAAAGGAATTAATTAAGAAAATTTTGGACAGATTTAATATGAGTGATTGTAAAATTTCAGATATTCCAATGCAACCTAAACTTAATCTGTCAATTTGTAAAGATAAAAATTTGGTAGGAAATGTTAAGTTACCTTATAGAGAATTGATTGGT